TGTGTGACAGGAAGTGGGATGGGGCGGAGAGATCGGATCAGTGTCTGGAACCTCTAAGAATGATTTTCTGACTGGTCTCAAGCAGCAGCAGAGATTACCCTTACAGAGGGTTTATGATATGTGGACCACTGACTTCAGTCTCGTCTGGACCGTCAGCCCTCTGTATTTGCTGGTGCTCCATCTGGGACTTGAGCATGCATGGATTTTGCTATCTACTGGGCAAGACTGCATGGTGAGTTAAAGTACATCAGCTTGGGGTTTGTTACACCCAGCGGCTCTGTGATGCTGGCTCTGTTGTTTATCATTGGAAACAGTTTCTTAAAACGGTGGGAAAATACACATAACATAAAATTTGCTGTCTTGACTGTTTTTACGTGTACATTTAGTAATGTGAAGTATATTTACATTGTTGAGCAAAAAATTTCCAGAACATTTTTCATCTTGTAAATCTGTATTGTGTTCCATTTAACAATAACCCCCCATTTCTCCTTCACCCCAGTCCCTGACAAATCACTGTTCTAATTTCCACCTCTATGAGTTTGCCTACTCCAGATATTTCATAGAAGTGGAATCACACAATATTTGTCTTCTTGTGACTGGCTTATGTCACTTGGCATAATGTCCTCAAAGTTCCTCCATGTTGTAGCATGGCTCAGAGTTCCCTGACTTTTTAAGACTGAATAATATTCGACTGTGTGTATAGACCACATTGTGTTTATCCATCCCTTCCTGGATGGACATTTGGGGTCCTTGCAACTTTCAGCTATTGTGAATAATTCTGCTTTGAATATGGATGTACAAATATGTCTTTGAGACGCTATGTTCAGTCCTTTGGGGTGCACACCCACACGTGGAATTGCTGGATCACATGGTAATTCTATTTTTAATGTTTGGAGGAACCACCACACATTACTGACTGCAGCTGCACCATTTTACATTCCTACCAACAGTGACACGAGGGATCGGCAGCAGCATTTGTACAAGAGGAGCACAGAGAGAGGTGCGGAGGGATAAATGACTTGCTCAGAGGCACAGGGGTGGTGCTGGAGCCAAGACTCTAGTCCAAGTTTCCTGGCTCTTTGAATGCTTGCTCTTAACCAAAATGCTAAGCTAGGAATTTGGAATATTATGGGCAGGAGGCCCCTGATGATAACTTGTGCTGCCTGGGTCAACCTCGCCCTGCAGAGCTGGCATTCCGTTCGCTCCGAAGGATAGGAGACAGTGGTTCCTGTCACTTCTGATTCACAGTGAAGGTTAGTCCTCCCTCCAGGCAACTGGGAGACCACTCTGGTTTGATGCTTTCACTGAACTGGGTCAGAGTCTGTCCCTCCCTACAAATCTATCTCATTCTGCCCCAACTTAAAGTTGGGCCAATTCCATTTCATTCTGCAAGCAATGAAGCAGAATGCTATTAGTTTCAGCATCCTTGGTGAAGAAAGGTGTGGAGTCTGAGCTCTCTGATCAACAAGCCCCTTACAGTGTCACTTCACACACATCAGTGAAGGGAGGGGATAATGGTGATGATATTAATTACCCCTATTTAGAGAGGAAAGGAGGACAAAGCGTGGTATAAACTTGTGAAAAACCAGACAGGCTGATACACAGCAGAGCTGGATTTGAACCAGCAGAGCTGGGTGATTTCAGTTCATGCCACATGACAGAGTCATTCCACTCCTGAGTATTTATCCAGAAAAAATGAAAGTGCTAATTTGGAAAGATTCGTGCATCCCAGTATTCACAGGAGCGTTATTTACAATAGCCAAGACACAAAAGCAACCTAATTGTCCATCAACAGATGAATGGATAAAGAAGATGTACATACATTCAGCCACAAAGAAGAATAAAAATTCTGCATTTTGCAACATGGATGGACTTGGAGGTTATTATGCTAAGTGAAATAAGTCAGACAGAGGATGACAAATAGTGTTTGAACTCACTTACATGTGAAATCCAAAAAATAAAATGTACTAGTGACTATAACAGAAAAGAAACAGACTCATAGATACAGAGAACAAACCAGTGGGTTACCTGTAGGGAGAGGGACGGGGGGCAGGGCAAGATAGAGGAGTGTGGGGTTAAGAGGCACAAACCACTATGTATGCAGTCAGTCAGCTACAAGGGCACATTGCACAACACGTGGAGCAGAGCAGCAGACTGTAGCCTCCTGGACCACATCTGGGATGCTGCGCCAGTAGGTTCGTCAATTTGGTCTGAATCCAGACCACAGGGGAGAGTCTGTGAGTCACATGACTCCTCTGAACACCCTAGACCAGTGGCCTTGGGTGTGGTCAGCATCCAGGTGTGTGCACCCTGGCTGGTGGAGAGGCCATGTACGTAGCTGGACTGGCAATTGTCATCTGCTTCTTGGTGGCCTCCCAGTCTTCTGTGTTGCGAATGGATATTTTTTGTGACTTTCTGTCTTGTTTTCTCAGCAGATCTGAGCCTCCTCAACTCTGTCCAGAATGTGGTGTCAGAATGTTAGCCAATTTTGTCAGAAGCTGGCTCGCAGGCGGCCCCTGGAGCCCAGGGAGGGGTCTGAGAGTCGCCTGGCTCGTTGTCTGAATGCCCTGGACCTGGTGGCCTTGGGTGTGGGCAACACCCTGGGGGCTGGCGTGTACATCCTGGCTGGAGAGGTGGCCAAGGACAAAGCTGGACCGGCAGTCATCATCTGCTTCTTGGTGGCCGCCCTGTCTTCTGTGTTGTCTGGGCTCTGCTTTGCAGAGTTTGGGGCCCGCGTACCATGTTCCCGCTCTGCATACCTCTACAGCTATGTCACAGTGGGACAACTGTGTGCCTTCATCACTGGCTGGAACCTCATACTGTCCTATGTCATTGGTGAGATGATGGGGTGGGGAAATGTGCTCAGAGGGAGTGTTGGAGGCTTGAGCCATTCCTGAGCCCTTTGTTATCCACTTTGTGGGAGAAGTGAGGAACAGTGGCAGGGAAACCCCCAACTTCATTCTCCTCAGCTCCCCCCTGCTTTCCCTAAGCGATGTGACCAAGAGCGCAGAAGGAAGGGGAACGCGGGAAGTGGGTGAGAGGGAGACACGTCCACAGGCTCATCGCTCACCGTGTCGAAGGCTTTGCTCAGCTCTTGCCTTCATGGGGTTTTCCCTTACACCTCGATTTAAAATTTCAGCCCTGCCCTCCTGGTTCCACTTCCATGTTTTCTCTTTTGCACAACACTGATCTCCTCCTAACGTATTAAATAGTGGACCGATTCTGTGAATATCTGGGTCTTCTTTCCCAACCCCATGAATGAAAGTCTCTGATATTATTTTGTCTGTTTTTCCCTCAAAATACATCGCATGGCACATAGTAGGGGTTCAATTAATGTTTGTTAATGAATCTTCCATCTTCTTCTGCAGCCATCGCCAGCGTGGCCAGGGCCTGGAGCTCCGCCTTTGACAGCCTGATTGGGAACCACGTCTCTCAGGGGTTACAGGGCACTTTCTCCCTGTATATGCCCTACTTCCTGGCCAAGTACCCAGACTTTTTCGCACTGGGCCTGGTGTTGCTGATGACGGGTGAGACGGGGTCATAGATGGAACGGAAAGTGTGGGGTGTGGAGAGGGAGCCGGGGGGGGGAAGGCTTGGAGAGGCAGAATGGTAGGGAATTAGGACAGGGAAGAAGGGTCTGTGGTATGAGAGACAGGAAGGCAACACAGACTGTGGTTCCCGCTCTTGGCACCACTGACCTTCTGGGCTGGATCATTGTTTGGTGTGGGGGGATGTCCTGTGCATTTTAGTTTAAAAATATCATTATCAGATGTTGAGTACCATCCCTGGTCCTTACTCCCCAGACGTCAGTGACACCCACCACACAGAATGTGGCAGCCACGATGTCTCCAGGCCTTGCCAAACTACGGGTGAAGAAAAAAATCACCCACTTCTTAGACTGACAAGTTTCTTCCTCTGTGCTGAGACCAGAGATTATTCTCAATTGAGATGAAATCACACAACAGAAACTCAACTAGTTTATTAATTTCTCCAGCTTTATTGAGATATAATTGACATATAATTATGTACAATTTCAGGTGTGCAAATTCATGGTTTGACTGATGCGTTTATTGTGAGGTGATTGCCACAGTAAGAAACTGATCATCGTACTGTGCAATCAATGGCACTTAGCACACTCACAATGCTGTGCAACCCTCACCTCCAGCTAGTTCTAAACATTTCTCCACCCAAAA